GCCGGAAGGAACTTGGGGGAACCAGGGGTGAGTTCACACAGCGGCTATGAAAGGCTGCGGGCGGGAGTGCTTGCTTGAGACACACACTCAGTCACACACACCCCTCGCGGGAGCCCCGAAAAAGAACAAAAGAGCAGATGCTAGGTTGCGCCAGGGCGGGACCCCGGGAGCAAAGGCCCTGCCAGGAGCACCAGGGCTCCAGGTAAGGCTGTTGGGTGGAACAGGAGAGATGAGGGAGGGAGGAAGCAGCTCCACCAAGAGCTGCCCAAGTGGGAACCCCCTTCTCAGGTCAGCACCCCTCTGTGCCACTCCCAGGGCTCATGCTTCCTTCCTGAAGCCAGGGCTCCTCCCACCTCTCCCATGGGCGGAGCCCTGCACAAGGAGCCCCGGAACCCCTCCCGGCCCCCTTCACCAAGGCCAGTGTGCAGGGAGTGAGTGAAGGGCCGGCAGCGGGTGCTGCCACAGATGCTGCGGCCAAACTAGGCACTGGCTTCTTCATCCGGGCACGCAGCTGCCATGGGCAGGGAGAGATGCCCAGGCACCTGCCGAGGGCCAGAAGCACCATCACCCTTCTTGGCAGCCTCATGGCCAGATCCGAGGCCACAGGGCCTGGATGGGAAGGGTCCCAGAAGGGCAGGACAGTTCTCCCTGAAAGAGGCACCATGTGGTCTCACTTAAGAGCCTGGTGTCCCCCAAAGAGTACACGTGAATATGACATGTGCCCATAGCCTGCATGTGTGTGCACCTATGAGCATGTGTGCATGCCTCCGTCTACATGTATGAGTGTGCAGAGCAGATGTCTATGCCTGTCAGCTGGTCCATGTGTGTCTGTGTGCATGCACGTCTGCCTGTCCACATGTGTCCTCGTGTATGTGTCTTGCCTCTGTTTTGGTGTGTGTCCCACACATGCACATGTCTGTATGGGGCGATCTGTATACTAATAACTAGTAATAACTGTGTGCACAAGTAAATGTTGTGTAACCTTCAGTGTATATATGTGTGTGTGCATAAACACAGGTGTCCATCTGCTCACACCTCAGTGAGTGAATCCGTGCGTTTATGGCCCAGGGTCTGTGGTCTGCATGTCTAGATGCCCCTCGGCCCACATGGGCTTTAGTGACAACAGGCTGGGGGACAGCTGGAGCAGAGTGGAAGAGCTGGGCGCACAGGGGCAAGTGTGAACCCTCCGTGAACACATGTGGGCTGAGCACGGGCACGAACACACGCACACATGCACTAACGTGTTCTGTACCCCTCTTGCCCTGGGAAGGGGGCAGCCAGGCTCACCTGACATTACTGTTGCGGTGCTCTGTACTGGGCAGCTCCAGGGCCAGCCCAGCGGGCATGGGCGGCCCCGTGGGCAGCGGCTGCTGCTGGAAGATGAGCTCGGGGGTCAGGTCCACCTCAGTGGGGCTCACCATGACCTTGGCAGCAGACAGCAGAGCTGTCTTCCCCTTGTTGTAGTTCTCCAGCACCTGTGGAAGGACGGGGGAGGCTGGGGTGGGGGCAGCAGCCCAGTCCTGGGGCCGGTGCTGGGCAGAGCCTCCCAGGGCCATGTGGTCCCACTCCCTTCCCACGGTCTCTGCTCCTCACAGAAGGCCTGGAACACGCCCATAGTGCCATGTCCAGCCTCTCAGTAGCTGGCAGACGGCCGTGGCTGTCGCAGTTAAGTGCCAGGTAGCCTTCAGGGCTCCTGAGCTTTGCCTGCCTCAGGAACAGGTCCCGGCATCTCCTAAACTCCCCACCGTAGGGCCATGTGGTGATGTGGAAAGAGCGGGGTATGGGAGGAAGGACTCGCTGGGCTTTCCGGGTCCGTCAGAGCCTAGCGGGGGCAGCCTCACTTCTCTGAGTCTCAGCACCCCTGTCTGTCCCATGGGGACGGTGATCTGACTGCAGCGTGCTCGTGGGCTTTGACGAGGTGCCGGTGCGAGCTCACCTTGTTGAGACCCTCCATGACCACGTAGGGCAGGTGCTCATGCAGCATGGCTGGCGAGATGATCACCTCGTTGAAGGCCTTGTTGTCGCCCCAGATGGCGAAGTACGTGGGATCCTCCTGCTCGCAGCAGCTGAGGGACACCAGGGCCGGGGGGTTAGGGAGGGCGGTGGGGCTGGAGGGAGGCCCCCTCCCAGCCTGGCTGGCTGGGCTGTGTTCCGGCCTGGGAGAGGCCGCCTTGGCCTTCCACCTACTTTTGGCCTGGGTCATGCCTGCTCACGAGTCTGTGTCGGGGGCGGCAGCCCACAGCAGGTGGAGGGGCCAGGGCCCAGCCCTCTGAAGGAGCATGTGCCTGCCCCCGTCTCTCCCAGGCCCACCCTTGCTCACAGCTGTCTACCCTCGAATCCCTTCGGTCATGCCATGCGACAGCTGCGGTGTGAGCTGGCCAGGGCCTGAGGGGTGAGCCCTTGGAAATGACCCTCCAAGTGGGGAGAGCTGCCCGGGGAAGGGGGGACACAAGGGTCAAAGCTGGGACTATCAAGAGAGGAGCCTGGAATCCTGCTCAGGTCTGGCCTTTTGTTCCATTTTTAGGGCCTGAGGCTGGGGAAACCCCCTCCGTAGGGGACCTGGGCCACCATCTCCCAGCCTCAGCCCCAGCCCCAAGTGGTGACTGAGACGAGGCCACCCTGGCCTCCACCGCCCCAGAGCCGGGGTCGTGGGCAGCACCTACCAGCACTGCTCTGCAGGGTGGTTGTGGACCACGTGAATGATTCGGCCAGGAGGGTAGAGCGGGGTGCTGGCCGACAGGGCGATGGTCAGGTCGCTGGGGTGTGTCCAGAGCCGTGTGCTGGCCAGGGTGGTCACCTCCATCTCCTCAGGCAGCTCCGACTTGGGGATGCATTTGGTGGCCCCCACAATGATTCGCCACTGTGTGGGGCGGGGGCCGGGGGACATAGCTGAGCGGCACTGGCTAGGAGCGCAGGGGCGGGGTGCGGAGGAGGGGGCTCGGCAGGTGAGAGT